ACAACTGATCCCCTCATCGCTGGCGGCTGACGTCGACGCCGACTTAGGCAGATCGGCGGCGAGCGATGGGAGGGAGGCGGATAGAGGCGGAGGAGCTTTCAAGGAGGGTGGAATGGAGGGAGAAGGATCGTCGGACGGACCATGATCCTCGGCTTCGAGCAACGGAATCGCCGCCGGCAATGAACCCGTCAGCGGAGAATCCTTCGTCCGCGCTGACGCCGGCCCATGCTCCAACTTCCACTCCTCCAGAGACATGGACTCGTAGAAGATTGCTTCCACGGTTTTGACATCGCGGTTGGTAGTGAGGTCGAGCACCTCCTAGCCCTTGCTCTCCGGCGAAACATCGAGGTGAATGCCCTAGCGTGCTTTCGGCACCAACTTCCCGCCGCGCTGCTGCTCCGGGACCATGAACTGCACCATGCAGCACCACGAAGGCCTCTCGCGTTCCCATCAGATGATGAGAGCAGCCGTTGTCGAGGAGCACCACGGTCGAATTCGCCTGCACGGGTGCAGCGACCGCTTGGAAGTCTTCTCCAGCCTCCGGCGCCAGCGAAATAATTGGCTCAACCACTCCAACCATCGAACAAGAGGCTTCCTTGCCACTCGGGGTATCTCCCTCTGATTTCGACGGTGTTTTCGATGACGCTGGCTTCTCCTTGCGCGGCTGGTGGTCTCGACAACGACGCTCGCAGTCAGACTTCCCGCGACTTCCTTTCTTATCGTCGTCGGACTCGTCGCGATCAGGGAAGTCGTATGAGAGATGGTCAGGGTCTCCGCAAATGTAGCAGCGGCGAGCTCCTCAACGCGAACCACTGCTTTCGCGATCATTGCCCTTCGCCGACTTCCCGCGGTCGGCATTCTCCGTAGACTTGGTGTTCGACGACTTTCCGCCACCGCCTCCTCCTCCGCCCGACTTTCCACGCTGCCCCGTGTGACGTCCCTGCTTCGTCGAAGCAACGTATTTGGCCTGCAGAAGAAGCTCTGAAGACCGCTCAGACTCCTGCATGAACTCATCCTGGATGATGTGACTCGAAAGCGAATCCTCATTAAGAGTCTCGCGTGTGCCGGGAATGATCAGTATCCAGCGCATCAGATTGTAGCTCGATGGGAGGCCGTTGATGACATGCGTAACATACGACGCAACCGAGTACTCGAAGCCAGCCATTCGCAGGTCGGCCAAAATTCGCCGCGCTCGATTGCAGTACTCGGTCGCCGATTCCTGCTCGCCCATGCGAATGGTGGCCAATCTCTTCTCCAGTTGGCTGATGTAGAGGTCATCGGTCGCTTTGAAGGTGCGCATGATGTACTGCCACGCTTGGTAGCCGGCGTCCATATGAAGTCGGTATGGCTTTAACGCGACTTGCACTAGTGGCGAACAGCACAGTGAAAGGGCCATGAAGGTCAGAAGATGAGTGGCACAAAACTCCGCCCACAATTCAGAGTCGTCTTCGTCCGGCGTCTCCACGTTGTTGTCAACGAACTTCTTCAATCCGGTGATCTCCAGCTGAGGCTCGATGGATTTGATCCATGTGATTGAATCGTGGCGTCCTTCGAGCAGCTTTGGCACAGCGATCTTGTCCGGCGAAAATTTGAAGTAGCCGTACACCGGCACGATGCCTCCGCCACAACCAGCCGACGCATGATTCGCCGAAATCGGCTTGACTCCACTCCACTGAGGAGAATGATGTTGACCATTGGTGTTGCCATTCGAGCTGCCTGCAGCCGCCGTCGATCGCAGCACTTGTGCCTGCACTCCGCCAACGCCAACGTCGGCGGCCCGAATCACTCCGCGAACCCTCGTGCTACCACCGCCGACAACATTGCCGCCGTCACCTTCGTTATGCACGGGTCGGGGAGAGGCGCACATGCCCACTGCGCACGAGTTTCGAGGAGCAATATCTCCAAGTCCGCCTCGCCGTACCCGCCAGCCTCGTAGCGTGCCCGAACAGCATCCAACCACGCATGTAGAGTATCCTCTACTCCTGCATCGACTCTTTGGTCGTCCATGGCGGTCTAGATGGTTCCTGGCCTACAACGACTAAGGTATAGAGCGAAATGTTGTCTAATCTAAAGGTTCTAACGCGGGGTCGTTCCACGTTCACCGCACCATGCGGAGAGTCACCCTACAACGAGAGTGGACTACGGAGGAGGGCACGGGGTTGTGCGGGTGATCGTAGCACTCTAGCAGAGTTCTTACTACTTGCTGTTTTCACAGAGAAATTTGGCGAGAGTTTCCACTAAGAAATTGAAAAGAACATTGAGAAATTGAGAATTAGAGTACACAATTGAGGCATGCAAGTGATATGACTAGAATGGCATTGGAACCCCTAGAAAGAATTCTGCAAGGCAAATTGCTAGCACTGCATCAGAGCGATTCGCCAACGCTGCAGCAGGGCGGCTTGCCAGCGTAGCAGAAGGGCGACATGCCAGTGCTGCAGCAGGGCGGCCTGCTAGTGCTACATTCGCAGGTGAATATCTGCGCAGGTGTGCACCTGCCGAGTAGACGGTTGCACCGCCAAAGACATTGCGCAGGTGCCTAGTAGAAAACGTTCTGACGGTTTCGTCAGATATCCACTGTCGAACACGTAATGCCATTCCGTAGGTGAAATTTCGTTAAGAACCACGTGAGCGAATTTTGCATGCCTTCGCAAAGTTCCGCAGTCGCGCGAATTCGGCCAACTAGTTCGCCAAGACGAGGCTCGCTGAACGGTGCCCTTCGATCAGAGAACGAGGCTCTTCGGACTGCACCCCGTCCGTCAGAGATCGCGCGACTCACTAGCAGATCAGAGGACGAGCTCGTCGAACAGCACCCCGTCGACCAGAGCTCGTTGATGGGCTGGTGAATCAGAGGACCACCTCCTCGGAAAATCCATCGTGGTTTCGGAGGACGGGCTGATCCAATGCGACGATCACTTCGTCGAATTCACCACGTCGTCGCAGAAAATGCCTGTGCCCAAGCGAGGGCGGGGCCTTTCACTTCGACAGGGGACCCACTCAAGAGGAGGGCCAGCGAAACCTGCAGCTGAGAGACACGAGGCCACATGCTAAGCTGGTGTAGCAGACAGCAAACGGCCAGAGAAAATGGGAAGAATTGGTATGGCACATCGAGGTACGAGAAATCTCCATGACCAAGCCAATATGACGCTCATCGACCCCATTCTCCTGTAGTGAGTGTTACTAGAAATCACCTAGTTCCTACTGCTGATAGTACTACGATCACTAAAACAACTCTTCTAGGGGTCACCTCCGAGAGTCCTTGGGTGCCTGACCGAGGTCAGCCCCTATCTAAGGGTCCGAGTTTGTTGAAAGAGTACCAGTAGTTCAGTGGCGTCGAGCTGCAACAGTGTTTCCCTTGTCACGGTGTAGGCAAAGAGTCCTTGATAGTCAAATGTAAACCTTATAGCAGTGCGGGAGAGCGCTTGATAGGCAGAGTATGTTTTTTCATTATTCATAACATACACTTACATTCTCTAGGCCATATATGTTGGTGCAACCTACGGTTTGCACTCGGCTTGTTGTCCGTATGCGTGCATGCGTGTGTGCATGGAATGGTATGAGGGCATGGGATAATATATATTTCATGCTTATAATAGTGTGTGAATGTTGAGTCATGATGTCGAATGCGTGTGTCGAGTCAATAGCGAGTTATCGCTAGTCGCGTGTCTATGTCTTCGTTTGTTTGTGTCCCGTGCGCGGTTTCTGTTTTTGTCGTGTGTCTCGTGCACGGTTTCTATTTTGTTGTGTGTGGAACGTTAGGCGTATCACAGGTGTATGCAGAAGACCCATCAAGAACCCAAGGATGAGTTTATGGTGAAAAACCAGAGCCTTGGTGTCAAGATTCAAGTGATCGCGAATCCTGCGAAAAGGGTACACCTCAAGATATAGAGAATAGTTACATTACTTTGTGTAGTGTAACATTTCACTTGGTGTAGGCCCTTCTGAATGGTAGTTTCGAGACCCTTCTTGGTTGGGGATAGTGTGGCACTGTTCCACATCAATTTACCTCGGCTCTTGGGATTTGTAGGAGCTGGGAGTCATTCCCAACTCGTAACTCTTTTCCTATTGTGTGTTCTAAAACTAAAGTGGCTGCCATAGTGCCATTCGTTCAAACCAACGCTGTGTCGTCATTACTTGGTGAAATCGTGCGATCTAAATTGCCTATTGTATGCGACGTTAAGACGCTCCAGATCCAATTTGAATCAGATCATTTGAAGCTCTGACTAGAACGCTATGAACGTTTAAAACCCGGGGGTCAAGAAAGGCGAAATCGGTTCATCCTTCCTAAGGATGGTTGGGTGTAACCCTGTTTCCAGCTGAGCCTTGGTTGACACCCACAAACCACGTCGCCTTCAATCACCAAACGAAAATACTGTAGCAATGACAACACCCCAGTTGGGCCTCATCGCACGGTTTTGTCGCCCAACACCAATCCTGCTTAGACATGAGCACACTGGCAAGAGAAACTTGTCCCAAAACGCCTCTGATTACTCCCGAGTTTTGTGAACCACTATAGCACACGCTTAGACTGCCTACAAGCCGACATACCGGGTTGCACGTACGCGCGATTCGCGAAATACAAACGGCTAATGTAGTTAAGCGCCGGAGATAGCGACATTGCCGGGTAATATAGAGGTATGGACTAGGGAAGATATAATTTTACAAGCGGGACGCTCGTGAAGATAAAGTAAAAAATCGGCGGCCGTATCGTAAGCGTAGGCATTAGGCGCGGAAGGTAATCGGAGCGGGACGCCTCGCGCATTGCCTCGCGGGATGCCTCGGGATTTTTGCGCCGTCGCATTCGCACGCCACATTTGCAGGTCGCGTGTTCGCAGCGCAGACGATGCCTATGTCGACCTTAGGTCGCTGTGAGTCGCGCGGCTCATCGCGACGTCGCGAATAGGTCGCGATTTTCCCCGCAGCGCTTTGCGACACTCTTAGGTCGCGACTTACCCTGCGTCATTGCAACCTACGGGCATGCGGAGTTGCATGGGCAGACGGAGATGCATGGGCAGGGGGGAACGCAATCGCGGCTCACCTCCGCCACTCACTCACCTCCGCCACTCACTCACCTCCGCCACTCACTCACCTCCGCCTCTCACTCACCTCCGCCTCTCACTCACCTCCGCCTCTCACTCACCTCCTCCACTCACTCACCTCCGCCACTCACTCACCTCCGCCACTCACTCACCTCCGCCACTCACTCACCTCCGCCACTCACTCACCTCCGCCTCTCACTCACCTCCGCCACTCACTCACCTCCGCCACTCACTCACCTCCGCCTCTCACTCACCTCCGCCTCTCACTCACCTCCGCCTCTCACTCACCTCCGCCTCTCACTCACCTCCGCCACTCACTCACCTCCGCCACTCACTCACCTCCGCCTCTCAATCACCTCCGCCTCTCACTCACCTCCGCCTCTCACTCACCTCTGCCACTCACTCACCTCCACCTCTCACTCACCTCCGCCTCTTACTCACCTCCGCCTCTCACTCACCTCCGCCACTCACTCACCTCCGCCTCTCACTCACCTCCGCCTCTCACGCATGTGTCCTCTCACTCCCCTCCCTCTGCCCCCTGTTCCCCCTCTCTCTGCAATCTTTTCACCCTCTCTCGTGCTCCCTCAGTTGTACTCCCTCCCACGACCTCCCCCATTCATTATCCCTCCCTCAACCTCTCCCTCTCCGTCACCCTCCCTCGCTCTGCCCCATTCATTCACCCTCCCTCAACCTCCCCCTCTCCTTCACCCTCCCTTGCGCTCCCCCATTCATTCTCCCTCCCTCGACCTCCCCCTCTCATTCTCCCTCCCTCGTGCTCCCCCATTCATTCACCCTCGCTTGTGCTCCCCCATTCATTCGCCCTCCCTCAACCTCCCCCTCTTCTTCACCCTCCCTTGCGCTCCCCCATTCATTGTCCCTCCCTCGACCTCCCCCTCTCATTCTCCCTCCCTCGTGCTCCCCCATTCATTCACCCTCGCTTGTGTTCCCCCATTCATTCGCCCTCCCTCAACCTCCCCCCCTCCCTTCACCCTCCTGTCTCTATCTCCACTCGTTTTCCCGGTTGGGAAGAGACGCCAGGGAGGCAGACGGAAGGAAATGGGAGGACAAGGGGGGAGAGCAGAGCGGGGGCAGTGTGGAGCGGAAGAAGAAGCACATCAAGAGTGGCATTGCAGGGAATGGATGAGAGAGCCTAGGGGCCGGGGATAGGGGTGCTCCGTTGGCTACTATATGCATGCCTCGTGTGTTTCTTAGTCTCGAGCACTGAATAGGTCCTAGTCAACACCAGGCACAGCTGATCTAACATGGGGGGCATCGCCCATGAGGTGTCTTGTACGACCGCCACAGTAACTGACTGAAGGGAGCCATTGTGAGCTTGCCTTTCGTAATCTTTCCATGTTACCATTGCCACCATACTTGTCGCATGAATCATTTCCATTGTGTGTTTTATGCCACCGGCTTGCAATATAGAACTTGTACGGCCTTTTTTCCAATCATCATCGTAAAAATCGATGTATCAACGGATGTTCTGTGATGCCCGGTTACACAACCACTCCGAACAAACGCACGTTGCCAATCTCTGGGTCGTGATCAGATGGCTACCGTGGTACCATTACAAAACACTTCCTTCACCATTGCGGCCCCTGCTCTCCTCCGTGCATCCGTCGCTGCGGTCTAGTGTGCGCATGACAGGGGTAGCATGGGGAAGGGAGGATGACAGGGGTAGCAGGGGGAAGGGAGGATGACAGGTGTAGCAGGGGGACGGGAGGATGACAGGGGTAGCAGGGGGAAGGGAGGATGACAGGGGTAGCAGGGGGAAGGGAGGATGACAGGGGGGATTGGACGGGGGGAAGTGGGGGAAAGGCCGTGAGGGAGTGCGGAGACGGATGAGGTGGAGTGTGGGAAAGGGAGGGTAGGAGGGGGGAAAAGGGAGGGTAGGAGGGGGGGAAAGGGAGGGTAGGAGGGGGGGAAAGGGAGGAGGACAGGGGGGAAAAGGGAGGATGACAGGGGGGGAAAGGGAGGGTAGGAGTGGGGGAACGGGAGGGTAGGAGGGGGAGAAAGTGAGGGTAGGAGGGGGGGAAAGGGAGGGTTGGAAGGTGGGAAAGGGAGGATGTCAGGGGGGGAAACGGAGCATAGGAGTAGGGGAAAGGGAGGGAGTGGGGGAAAACGGAATGGATGCCTGAGTGGAAGGGGGTGGAAGAGTGGGGGGTAGGAAATGGAGTGTGCGGCCAAGGGGATGGGTCTGTGCGGGGAAGGGACTGGATGTGTGATGCCCTCGGGAAATGTACGGGTCAAGGGAAGGGAATGGATGCGGGAGTGGAAAAGAAGGGAAGAGGAAGCCGCATGGAATGGAAGCGGGAGGGGTAGGGAAGGGGTTGGATGCGTGAGTGGAAGGGGACGGGCATAGGAGCGTGATGGGAAGAGAACAGGAGTGTGTGGGGCTCGGACCAATGTGAGGCAGGTGTGAATGCGGGAAAGGGGAGAAGTAGAGGAAAGCGGGGGAGGGCAGAGAGATGGAGTAAAGAATAGAAGATCGGAGAGAGACCGAGGTATTACCTCGTGTGAGGAGATAATAAGAGGAAGAGAGATTTAAGGGGGAAGGGGGGGGAAGAAGGGAAGGCAAGGGGAGTGAAAGGATGGGACAGGACGGGAAGGGAAGGGAACTCTAAGCAAGGGAAGGGAACGGTACTGAGATGAAGGGACGGGGAGTCGGACGACGGACAGCCGGCACCGGAGGTGTGAGGGGAGGGCGGTGCAGAGGCGTGAGGGAAGACCTGGGAATTTGCGTGAGCGGAAAGGTCATGCTGCGAGCGCTTACTGGAAATCGCGGCGTAAGGTTAGGGTAACCGTGGCGCCTAGGCTGTATAATACATTCGCGGGAAATGTTCAATCGTGGCGTAACGACCTGGCGGCGCGCGCAAGCCCTACTCGGAGAGTAAGAGACTGGAATCGCCTGCTTGCCAGCTGTTGTACTTACTGGGGTTTTCGTGGCGTGCTGTGTGTCAATTCGATTTCGCAGCGAGCGCCAATGTTTCCCGGCGTGGCTTTGGGTTCGCTATCACTGCTGTTCCTCACCCTACTTGACGATGTCAACGGGAGTAGTGTTTGGCCCCGTCCTCGCTTGGGCGGAGCCGACCGCGAAACTGTGGGAGACGCGGAACCACGGGAGGGCCGCGGAACCGCGCGGGGCCGCGGAACCGCGCGGGGCCGCGGAAGAACCGCGGGAGAACCGCGGGACTGTGGGAGAACCGCAGGACCGCGGAAGGGCCGCGGGACCGCGGGACCGCAGGAGAACCGCGGGACCGCGGGAGAACCGCGGGGCCGCGGAAGAACCGCGGGAGAACCGCGGGACCACGGGAGGGCCGCGGGACCGCGGGACCGCGGGAGGGCCGCGGGACTGCGGGACCGCGGGAGAACCGCGGGGCCGCGGAAGAACCGCGAGAGGACCGCGGGACCGCGGGAGAACCGCGGGGCCGCGGGAAGGTCGCGGGAGGCCGCGGGAGACCACGGGGCCGCGGGAGGCCGTGGGGCAACCACGGGACCACGGGGACCGCGGTGGCTGCGGATGGACGACCGGGGGCCACGGGGGCCGCGGGATACCCGGTCGACCAGGATACCCGGGCGACGTGGGCGAAAGTTGTCGGGGGTGTTTTCTGCGAGAACGACCTCGGGGGTGGTATCCCGGGGACGACGTGGCTGGTGGGCGCCGTCACGGGTGGAGTGTCTGCGCTGAGCATGTGACGGGGAGTTGGGTGCCAACCAGCTGCGCGCACCTGCGAAGCAAGTGCACCGGTGTCCCGCGGATGCAACGCTGTGCAGCCGACTTACTGCAGCGTTGGCCCACCGCGGACTGACAACGTTGGCAAGCCGCGACTCTGCTCTGCTGGAGCGCGGTCGACCAAGTCGTGCTGGCACGCGGTCGACCGTGCTGCGCTGGCAGTCGACCAGCAGCCTTGCTAGGTCTGATGTAGTCTGTGTTGCCAATGTTGATGCAACCATTATGAACTTTTGTTGTGATGTTTTCCTAGTGGAACTCTTGCCAATTTTTCCCGTGAACTAGCAAGCAGTGTTAGCACTTGGAAACGACTAAGGAACGAACGAACGCTACGATCACTCTTGCCCCGTGCCTAGCCCATATGAGAAGAAACGAGGAATGAAATGACTAAGTGAAAGTTGGGTACAAGAAGCAAACCCTAGAAAACTGTACCCCATATGTGCTACCCCACTATAGCCTACAGTAGCTATGTCATATAAATCTGACACACCCCCATAGGCAAAGTGGGGGAGAACAAGGGGTCACAAGACCAGTCAAGCAAAGCAAAGCAAAACAAGCTCAGGGTGGATCACAAAGTCACCACACATTCCGAGCACAAGTTCAAGGCCACAAGGCCAGTTCACAAGCAGGAGTACACATATATATAAAAAGGGCTAGACAACAAGAGCAGGTATATATATATGTAACAGTACAAGCAAGGTCAAGAGGTGAGCAAGTGAGGCAAGGTAGGCACAAGGCCCAGCTGAGTACAGAAGCGCTGATGGTCACAAGGCGCAAGTGCCTTGGTGAAGATATCAGCAGTGTTGGCCTCAGAGGCCACGTACGCAAGACGCAGCTGACCACGCTGCTGCAGCTCACGAGCAAGAAAGTAGCAGAGAGCAATGTGCTTCGTTCTGTGCTCCAGTCGCTGCTCCCGACACAAGGCCAGCATGGCCTTGTTGTCTACGTACAGCACTGGAGGAGAACGAGGCAACTCTCCGAGGTCCGTCAGCAGGTAGGTGAGCCAGCGAAGCTCCTGTGCAGCCATGGCTCCTGCGTAGATCTCAGCCTCACAACTGGAGCCGAGAACAGAAGACGAGCGAGTAGCCCGCCACGAAACAGAGCCGGAACCAAGGCTGAAGGTGTAACCCTGTGACGACCGCTGCGTAGCCTGGTCGTCAGCCCAAGAAGCGTCTGCGTGCCCAGTAAGGACCACTGGACTCTGCCCTCCAAGCACAAGCCCCATGCCCGACGTACTGCACAAGTAGCGCAACACCCTCTTCGCTGCAGCCATGTGCTCCGGTCTGTGTCTCCCAGGAGCAACATAGCGTGCAAGAATGCTAAGAGGGTATGCAAGGTCAGGTCGTGTGCAGGTCATCAGGTACATGAGGCAGCCAACAAGCTCTGGGTACGGGCCACTCGACTCTACGGACTCATCCGAAGGCAGAGCTGAGAGCGAGTGGCGAGTAGGCAGAGGAGTGGCCTGAGGCGAGGAGTACGTGAAGCCGAAGCGCTGAAGGACCTGCTGCACCATGTGTGACTGAGTCAGGGTAATGGTGCGGCGTGCTCTGTCCCGAGTGATCTGCAAGCCAAGGTAGCTGCGCAGTTCACCCAGGTCAGTGCACGTATGTCTCTTCTGCAGCTCGGACTTCACGTGGGCTAGTCCAGCAGTGTCAGCTGTGGCAAAGACCAAGTCGTCGACGTACACGAGGATGTAGAACGGCGGCAAAGAAGTGTCGGTGCGCAGAAACAGCGACGGGTCGGCAGTAGAGGGAGCAAACCCAAGAGCCGCAAGTGTAGTCCTCAGTGTGTCGTGCCACTCACGCGGTGCCTGGCGGAGACCGTAGACTGGCCGCCGTAGGCTCCACTGGGTGCCAGGAGGAAAAGACCCAGTGAAGCCAGGTGGGCGACGCAGCCAGATCTCCTCGTGCAGGCTGCCCTGCAAGAAAGCAGTGCTGAAGTCAAGAGAGTGTAGCTCGTAGTCACGGTGAGCAGCTACGTGCAGCAGTACCCGAAGAGTGGTCATCTTCGAGGTGGGAGAGAAGGTCTGAAAGTAGTCAACTCCCTGCCGCTGACTGAAGCCACGAGCCACGTAACGCGCCTTGAAGACAGGCGGAGAACCCGGCGGTCGCTTCACCCTGAAAATCCACATGCCACTGACGATGTTCGCCCCAGGAGGGGGAACAGCGTCAACGTAGGTGCCTGTGGACTTCCAGGAAGCCATCTCTGCGTCCATAGCTGCCTGCCACTGAGAGGAGTAGGGACCCTCTATCGCCTCCGCGTAAGAGCGCGGAGTCGGGATGTCAAGTGCATCCGGGTCTCCCTCAGGGGTAAGCAGTACGGACACGAGATGAGGTGAAGCAGCGGCCAAGCACTGGAACTCCTCCTGCCTGTCCTCAAGGACGTCCGTGCCAAGGGCACACTCACCCCCGACGGACGGAGGACAGACAGACTCAGACTCAGCAACAAGACTGGCGACGTAGTCTAGGCGACAGCGAGCAGCAAAGTCGACGAGCTCAGCAACTAGAGCAGACGCAGCAGTGGACTCAAAGGAAGGGTCAGTGACAACCGTAGCAAGGAGACGCGTGACAGTAGGACTGGCAGCGCGAAGAGAGTCCGACTCCGGGTCGGCAAGAGTAGGAAGAGAAGACTCAGGAGGAGAAGGCAAAGGGGCACGCAGAGGAGCAGTGGACGGACGCAGAGACATCCGGTGCGTGCCAGGGACAGGAGGAGGACGCTGACGCGAACCGCGACCACTAGTGCGAGCAGCACGGACAGGCGACGCAGGGCAAGACGCAGGCTCAGGACGCTCAGCAAGACCTCCAGTAGGACCAGTGTAGGGAGACGGAGCAGGCAGTGGGGAGGCCGGCTGTAACTGTAACTGCGACGGGACAGGCTGTGGACACTCTAAGGGAGGAGGAGGACCAGTAGAAGGCGGGAGACCAAGAACCTACTGAAGGAGCGGAACGAAGTACGGCCGAGGCCGCGCGGCGACTCCAGACACAGCAGGGACAGCACCAGCAACCCCAGGGGCAGCACCAGCACCAGTAGCAGCTCCAGCTCCAGAACCCCCAGCAGCACCAGTAGTACCCCCAGCAGGACCGCCTCCAGGACCGACAGCAGTAGCCTCCGCGCCAACACCCGCAGCAACTCCAGCTCCAGAAGTACCCGCAGGTCCAGCAGCTCCAGTACTCCCAGTACGAGCACCTCCGGGACCCGTGGCACCAGCTCCCTCAGAAGCAACAGAACCTCCAGTACCCGCAGCACCTCCAGCTCCAGCAGCTCCAGCAGCTCGCCTCCAGCGCCGGGCAAACCACTCACGCAGCTCCTGGGGAGAGAGTGGCTCCCGGCGAGAGGGAGCACCCGGTGAACCGCCAGGCACAGCACCACCAGGCGTAGCACCCCCAGGCTCAGCACCTCCAGGCGTAGTACCCCCAGGCTCAGCACCCCCAGACGCAGCACCCCCAGGCTCAGCACCTCCAGGCGTAGTACCCCCAGGCTCAGCACCCCCAGTCGTAGTATCCCCAGACTCAGCACCCCCAGGCTCAGCACCCCCAGGCTCAGCACCCACACGCTCAGCACCCACAGAGTCAGCACCCCCAGGCTCAGCACCCTCAGCAGCACCAGAGTCACCAGCGACCTCGACAGGCTCAACAGCGTCTACCTGGGACACACCTAAAGGGGCAGGACCCTGAGGGGGGAGGGGGTCTACCGGGGGGGGACCTGGTACAAGGAAGAGCGGTGGCGGGGGGAGGGACGGAGTGCGGTAGGGGAAGAGGCGGTAGTAGGGGACCGACTCGTCGAACGTGACGTCCTGGGAGGACAGAACACGGCGAGAGGTGGGGTGGTAGAATTGCCACCCTGGGGCGTCAGGGGGGAAACCCAGGAAGACGCAAGGAGCAGCACGAGGGGACAGCTTGTCCGCAGACAAGTCGCGGACAAACGCCCGAGATCCCCAGACACGGAACGCAGACGCATCGCCAACCTTCCCCGTCCACAGCAAAGCTGGGGAGGTCTCCGGCATGGAGACCCTGGGCTGAAGGTTGATC